CCCCCAAAAAAAAAAAAAAAAAAAGAAAAGAAAAAGAACCTCAATGTCCTTAAAACAGGTTTTGCTGGCTCTGGAACATCCAGCTGAACCACCTCTACTACCATATATGACACCCAGGAATCATGTTTTCGATAGCTTTAGTTAACATATTTGGCTTGATTCTACAGAATCAATAGCTGAACAATGACGTTGGTTCTTTTACTCTACTTAGGTTCCAATTTGGGAGAAGTAGGGTGTTGCGCTTTGTTCACATGTTCACATACGTTTTTCAGTGCGGTATTTGATCTGAAAAAGATTAATAGTTTTGATTGATCCTGTTTCCAGAATGTTTACTAATATGGCTATGAACAGGTAATTGCAGGAGTCATGGAATTCCTTAGTCTGCGAATCCCACCATTTATTAGAATTGATCTTCTCCAGACCATTTTTACTCAGGCCTTAAGTCTTGGTAACTTCCCTGGATTTGTGCTTATCTTTTTTTCATTTGCTTACCTTCAAGGTAGGGGTATTGTGGATTATACTGGGTTTGTTGTTGTTTCTTTTCATTTGTTCGTTTGGCATTCTGAAGTCCTAGAGCTGAAAAGACATTTTCATTTGCACTGTGATTTTCATTTTGCAAGCAATATCGGTGCATGTCAATTTGATCAAAGCAAGTTACAATTTGTGAAAATTCGGTCAATTCTTCTTCATCTTCTGCAGATACAAGTGAAAAAGTGAAGAAGGGAATTGCATGTGTATACCTTAGTTCTTGTAGAATATTTGGAAAAGATGTCAAAAGAATTACTACCATTTTTTGTTCCTCCAACTTGAAACCCAGAATTTGTCTAGGAATTCCTTTAAATGAAGTGAAAAATACAGCTTATTATTTTCGCTGCGTTAACATATCTGGTAAATTAATATTGGACGTGGCCAGAAGTAGTAGTATAGAAAATAGAAGAGAGGTATGATCAAATTTCTAAATACGGTCCTCTTTGGAGTAGGTCATTCATTAAATATGTCTTTTTATCTATCTGATTTACTTTTTTTGCAGATAAAAAATATGTAAATTGGACCCTTACTGTAGCAAGTGTCCATGGAAATAGGGCACCATTGCCTTTTATCAAATCTGTAGAGGTGAGTTAATAGCTGCGTCCACAGATTCTGTTGATTATGTTGAATAAGCATGTATGTGTTTCTAGAAGATAGAGTTTTGGAGGCTTACTGTTGCTGTGAAAGCTCCAAGAAACAACAAACTAGAAACTAGAAAGAGAAAAAAACATGGAAATTAATAGCAGGCAGTAACAGTGGCTGTTGTGGGTGCATCAATCGCATATTCAGTGGCAGTGACAGCATTATCCACTGATAGACCACAGCCACTATGAGTTTTTCCTTTGATATATTTGATTTATGATGTAGACTTGATTGAGAATTAGATGATCCATCACTTTGAGGCTTGGGGAAATGGCCCTGTACACTTGCAGTAAGATCGAAGTAGTTAGACCTTCCTTTTGCAGCCTTTGCCTAAAAGAACAATGAATTCATTAGTTAGGTCTTGCCTCTTTGGAGGATCTCTAGCTCTGTTCATTTATCCTGTGCATCTCTTGTTTGAGGTATGCAGATCGAAGGCTTTAGGAATCTGTTGTGATACCCTATGAACCAAGAGCGACAATGATAAATGGGCTCTAAAAATGTGAGCAGGAATGTGCTAAGTAAAAAGGAGCGTGAAATAGTCCTACCGTAAAGAGTCTTGACGCTACTTCATCTTACCTCTGAGTTTTTTCTGTCACTTTAATGAAGCCCTTTCTTTTTGAGCTGTAGCTTAGACCTTTTTGAATTGTCAGTGAGTAATGGAAGTTGTTTGTTACAATGCTCGTTTTATAGTCCTTTGTCTAATTTGCAGGATTCATTTAAAAACAGGTCTTGTCTTTCTTCTCCTTCACTTAATGATTGTCATCGGTAATAGTCCTTAGCCCTCTTAAACTTTCTAAGGCTATTATGATAACATCTCTGCTGCTTTTGAAATGGAATTGTAGGTTTCTTTTTCAGAATGTCAAAACATGAAAGCAACTGTTCTGCATAAACAACCTCTTCAGCTAAAAAGGTAGTTTCATAATTCTTGAAGCTGTAATATTCTAGTGTGAAAGATAACCTCGATATGTCTCTGTTATACATACTCTTTTGGCATAATTTCTCCAATAAGTCAAAAAAATTTTGCTCTTGTAGTAGTTTACAAGATTGTCTACTTGAGGCATTTGATATCACGTAGAAAATGATAACTAGATTGTCTACCAATCTGGATCTGATGTTTCCCAGAAGTTATGGGATTTTTTTTTTTAAAAAAAGGATGTTATCATTGTGGGCCAAGAACTTTAGCACCCAAAAATAATTCTAACAATCATTGCTTTTTCCTCTCTTGTTTACTTTGCATTATCTAACATACCTTAAAGGAAAAAAATGAAGAACTATAAATTGGACACATAATAAAATGGAAAAAGGAAAATGAGAAATATGAATATCTGTTCAACAGCTTCCGAGTTGATATAAAAAATAGCATGTTAAAATCAAATTTATTGATGAGGAAAAAAAAAAAAAAAAAAAAAAAAAAAAAGTGTTGAATCTTGACCTTTGATTTTCTTGATCAAAATTTTGAATTTATTTCAGCGGCATATGCCAGTTTTTCCTTTTAATTATTGGTGAGGGTTTATTTCATATGTTCACTAATGTTATAAATTCCCAGACTTGAAACATTCTTTTCAACTCCTATTGCTTGTCAGGCGGACGGTTAAGACTGCAAATCCTTTTAACGTTAAGTTGAAATTGAACTTCAGTGATGGTTGCATGTGTTCATCGGCTGAAATCAAGATTCCAGTTGATTTTCAGGTGAGAAGACAATTTTCTTCATCCAACCATCCTAGCTTTGGTTAATCTTGGCCACATTGTTTTAATGCTTATCAGATAAATTAATAGAAGACTACTTTGTTATGACTTCTACAACAACAACAACAACAACATACCCAGTATTATCCCACACCGTGGGGTTGTTATGACTTCTATATTATTTTATTATTGGTAAACTATGCCTAGCCAATTCATGCTAGTGTTCATTCTCCTTTGTGAAAACTGAAAGAATGATAACTCATTTTTAACTTCAAAACATAGAGTGTAGATCTTCTGCAGAGTCACAATGTTCTAGA